GCCATTATAAAATGGATGCCATCCATTCTATCTGCACAGATAAAACAACAACCTGACTGATGGTCACTTCCAGAACCTGCCAAGGCAGCTTGTAAAGGCAGTTTCACAGTGGTGCCATCCTCCGTGCCCAGAGCTTCAGGGATGCAAACAGCAGCCTCTCCCCACGGAAATAAAGGCCTGGTATCATGGGACCTCTTTCTTAAGGATGGTGTTTGAAATTACTCACAAACACAGTTGCTGTGTTTGCAAAAGGTGGGTGCCAAATCCATGTGTTTATACAGGCACACACCCACCTTTGTGGAAGAAGAGCAAGCACCTTGCAGAGAATCACACTGAAGGCAGCTCTCCTTACCTCCCACAAAGAAACTCTGACCTGTACTGTGTAACTAATGAGAAGGGGCAGCCATGCCCTCAAGAGCCTCCACCACCAAGGACAAGCAAAAGAAAGGAATTGGTTCCACAGTGCCAAAGCTAAATGAGAAATGCGGGATACTCTTCCAGTTCCCTGGTACACTCTGTCTAGATACCAATATCTCTAAAAAGCTCTTTCAAGAAAGAGAATTGAGAGCTACCAAAAAAAAAAACCCAACAAGACAAAAAAACCCCTCTTGCTAAAAAGAAGGTGTTGCTTTTTTTATCTATCAAATTAACAGAGAAAAGAAAAAAGCCCAGGTACCCTAGCTTTGAATTAGAAGAGAGAGCTTATATAAAATACTACTCTGAATGTAACTGAGAAGAAATGCAGCTAATCTTTGTGCAGCAAATCTTACCAGTATAATTTTTTTTCCCTTTTACTTTTCCTCCTTGCTTTTCATTTGTTAGGCCAATGTATCACAACTGAAATAGGTCTAGTCAACAAGGCAGAAAAGGTTTTGACTTTCATAGGATAATAAGGAATGCTGTAATTTTTGCTGGGCTCTATACTTGAGCTTTTGACTGAAAATACTCTGTTAATTTGCAAGCTAGTCAATGTTCCCTGGGGAAGTAAATGATAGAGCATTTGAGCCTTAAACCCAGGAGCAAACAGATGTAAAACCTTCCACAGACGTTGTGCCCATCCAGCTACCTCTTGCCTGTGCTCGGCCTCTTTAAAGACACAAGAGTGTTGGATCAAAGCCTGACATCTCTGGGGGTGACTGCCAGCCCTCAGTGACACCTGAGAACATGAATGTCAGTCTGGGAATGTAAATGGCGCCTCCCGATAATGCAGCACCTCTGAGGAGCTGGATTGCATTGCCTGAAATTGCAAACAGCCCAATCCCTCCTCTGGAGACTTCAAATACCGATGGCCCTCTGGCCATAAAAATACTGTCAAACGAGCCCTCCAGTAACGAAGAACAGTCTGAAGAGAACAGCTCTGTGATGCAAAGCCAAGGAGAAATACTGCCTGAGAGGAAAAGCGTGTGTGTGGAAGATTATGCCTTATGTTTATATAGTGTTTTGAGTGTTGTGTCCAGTTCTGGGCCCCTCAATTCAGGAAAGACATTGAGGTGCTGGAGCAAGTCCAGAAAAGGGCAACGATGCCGGTGAAGGGTTTGGAGGATAAGTCCAATAAGAAGCAGCTGAGGGAGCTGGGGGTGTTTAGCCCGGAGGAAAGGGGGCTCAGGGGGGACCTTATTGCTCTCTATATCTACATGAAAGGAGGTTGTAGCCAAGCAAGGGTCAGCCTCTTCTCCCAGACAACAAGTGACAGGACAAGAGGAGTTGGCCTCAAGCTCTGCCAGGGGATTCAGGCTGGACATCAGGAGTAATTTCTTCATGGAAACAGTTGTTAAACATTGGAATGGACTGCCCAGGGGAGTTGGTGGAATCACCATCCCTGAAGGTGTTCAAGAAACGACTGGATGTGGCACTCAGTGCCACCACAGTCTAATTGACAAGGTGGTGATCGGTCAAAGGTTGGACTCAATGATCTCAGAGGTCTTTTCCAACCTAAATGATTCTGTAATAGTGTATCTGCACTGTATGTATGTGTATATGCTTATGTATGTGTATTTGTACCTGCTTCAGGAGGACAAGCACCGTGATTTAAAAAGCAGACACAACCTATTTTCCATGAAGCTGCTTCTCCGGTGCTGAATTTCATTCCAGCCATATGGATTTATTATTGCAGTGCAGACTCTCCACAAGACAAATCTTGTGAGGATTTTGTGTCAGGTCTCAAAGCCCAAAAATGTCACATGAAAAACTTCCAGTGGTTTCAGAGGCTTATAACTCGGCTCAGAAAATAAATGCAAACTGAGAGTTGTAAGGTTCCAGTTATTACAAATTACTGCAGTAATAAATTATATAGAGTTTAAATTTCAGAGCAGGTGGTTTGTGAAGGTGTTCGGAAAGTTCTTATATTTACCACCCAAATTTGTACCCAAAGCGCAGGAGCTATGGGAATCCTTAACTTTTATAAGCTAAGCCTATAAACTGAACTTATGAAACTGGTTTGGTTTTTAGCATTTCTTCCCTACAGGCATAAAAGTTGAGCTTGTGTGATAGCAAGTATTGTACTTGGCAGATCAAAAATAAAAACCAAAGTGCTGTTCTAAGGAGGCAGCAATCTGAAGGCTCGGGGAGTGGCCCTGTTCCCAGAGCTTGAATCCCTACAGCTTCTACTACCAAAGTGTCCATCCCCAGGCAGAGTTGTCAGTATCACCGTTTTCTAATGACTGTCTCTACTTATAAACACAATTACACAAACCTCCTGTTGTGTTGTACTGCACAGAAGGATGAATCAGCGATGGGTAGTAAGGGTGAGCGCTACAGAACAGTACATACTAGCTGTATTTTAAGATCACTGAGGTAATCTGCAAACAAATCTCAAAAGATTTCCTTTTTTAACTGCCTGGAGAATATAAAACCTACACATGTATTACTTTGTTGCTAATATTTAAAATTAGCAGCAAAGAAGCAGAATTACTCTTACACTACCCAATAGTCTGTGGAGCCTGCAGACTGGGAAGTGACCAGGAAATCCCACATGAGGCTCCAAGTATAAAAATTAATGTATATAAAAATTATCAAAGGAGACAGTGCAAAGTCTGCCGCAACTCATTTCCCAATACTTTTGCCTTAAGTTTACATATCTAAGGGAGTGATTTTTTATTTGGACAAAATTTTTTGTCTATTAGGTAGATCTCTCCTCAGCAGCACTTTCTCTTACCCAAATTTTCCAGTCCTCAATCACATTAATCCTGCAATAGTTCTTCAGCCTTCTAGTACCAAAAGTGATTCATGTTCCTCCTTAGTGTTTGAAGTTTTCAAGTATTTTCATATTTACTTCTGCTAGGCATCTCTCAGTCAAATTAATGTATGAGTGTTTGCCTTGCTCTACTTAAATAACCAAGTACGTAGGTTGTTTTTCCCACTTAGCTTCTTCTCCAGCCTGGCAACCTCTAAATAAGGTGTTTGTACCATGGGCATGCTGAAAGTTCAAAATGAGTGTGAGAGGGGAAATAAACATTAACAAATGCAGTTTTGTCTCGGCAGCTGCTGCAGCGAGAGCGTCGGTGAATGACGCGCCCCAGGATTTCAGTGATTAGGAGCTAACGTGATCAGTTCTGATTATGCCTCCTTCATAAAAGGCTGCCACCATGAAGTTTGACAAAAATTTGCATTCAGCCCTCAAGTTCTTCAGCTGGAACACTAATAACAGTATTAGTTCTGGATGGAGCACTGGCTTGGTAAGTGAGGCAACCTTCCCCTATGGAAAACGCAGATGTCCCTTGACATATGAAGCTTAATATGGTTGGAGAAAGTTAATTTAGAAGTAATTTTTACAGCTGTGAAGAATGATTAGACACCACAGGCAAGCCAAATACTTTATGAAACACCATCAGCAGTGTGTTCCACTGCTAAGAAGGTTGTAAAGTTTGCTTTTGTACGCTGGGTTTGAAGATGATGAACATATTTGCTTGAAAAAGATGTTTGGATTGCTTTCATTACACATATCGTATTACTAAAAAGCACTGTTGACACTTTGTATAAAAGCAGGCTATAGCTTAGAATAGTTGCAATTCATTTTGTACCTTGATTTACCACTTAATCTATAAGCTTTGCAAAATAGTAACAAAAAAGTAAGTATAGCATAAACAAAACCTTTCTTTTGCTACTTGCCATTCTCAGACTTTAATAGCAGCGTGAAAAATATGAGCTGAAAGAGGGAAAACTTTAGAGGATGATACAAGAAAAGATGCACTAATTTCAGGCTTTAAATCCATTAAAAATAGAAATTCTGTGTTTTATAAAATAGTTAAAGAGCTCCTTCTGTGAAAGATCCGGAAGTAAGTTACTCTGAAAAAAGACAGTCTTAGTAAGAGCACAAAAAAAGAGTCCATTTTGGTAAGACTATAACCAAAGAAAACCTACCAGTTGTTCTAGGTAGTGCTACATGCTTAATTTCTCATGGGACTACCAATGTTTAGCAAATGGACCTGTTTGCAAGACTCAGGTAAAGAACACTGTTGATCTTTTAAACCTCTTTGAGAATCCTTTAGCAACTGTATTTCCAGAGGGGAGGGGGATTTATTGTCGCACCTCTCTCCCCCCTCCCCAAAGTGACATTTCACAACCAATTGTCCATCACTGTGTTAGGCTGAAAAGCAAATAGAGCCATATATTGTTCCAGAGACCTCTCACAATAGAAGATTAGGGGTTTGTTATAAGTTTATAAAGCAATGTTTTTATTAAATACAAGAGCACTGTTATACTAAGGGTTTACTCACACTCACTGGAAAAGGCTGTGTAACTCTCTTTGTTATTTATCATTTACATTTGACAGACAAATTGAATATTCAGATCAAACACCTCACTGAAATTCTGCTTCCAATTCATAATATTCATAAGTTAAATTAATTAAAACCACAAATATTTTTGACTGCTTGCCCCAATGGTTTTGTGTGTTTTAAAGCATTCCAAAATTTTGTTAGGTGAACTCTATCACAGTCTTCTGAACAATGAACCCCCAAGTATTTGTTTCATTTTCAAAAGGAAAAAATGTGTTCACTTACATGATTTCTTTTGTTTTCTCCATCTCTTATAGATGTAATAACTGTTTCAGAAAAAACTGTTGATCCAGTTTTATTATCTGTAACCTGACACAGCAAAAGAAGAACAAAATATCAAACCACATTTTTTATTAGCCCTTTGCTACTCTCAGTCTTACATTCTTCAATAATTAACCCACTCCCTCCTTTTTTCCCCATTTTGCTGTCACTCATATTAAATGCTATTCTAAGGGGGAAAAGTAGATGACAAGGCTACCTCCTTATCTATTTAAAATGTCACTGTGATGAAGGTGGCTGAGCAGGAGATGGTCATTCTTTTATGACCCGTGTAATAGCTGTAGCTGTGTTCTGTTTTTAGGAGGCACGTTTTTCAACATAAATTATTATTTCGCATTAACCTTTTATGACATGTGTCCTTACACAGTGACTAATCAAGCACGCAAGACACAATAAAACCCCAAAGTAATTATCATCAGGAAAGTTTATGCTCCAAGTTATTTTATTCCCCCCTAAAACATACAAAATTGTTTTTATTTCTGAAGGAAAGGTGTGTAAAGGTGCTCACCATATACGTGTTTTCTCATACCTTATCAATTTCTTGATGAGTCTGAACAGTTCTGTTACCAATTCTGGTTTCCTTGTCGGACTCATTATGGTAGTTGGGAGGTAAGTTTTCAAAGTTTACTTCTGACAGTTTTTTTGCCCCTTCCTCTTCAGCTTCCATCTGCCAAATTAAAAAAAAAACAAAACAAAAACAAAAAACAACTGAAAATTAGCAAAAATTACACAAAAGAGAAGAAGCAAAGCTTCTTGTGCAGCCCTTAGCAGCACCCTGTTTAATGACATTCTGCTGTTAGCACAGATGCCCCTGGATGAGAACGCTTACTCAGCTGCTTCAGACCCTGAGCACAGCAGCTCTTCCAATGGACTAGAAAAACAGTAGGGAGCTAAACCCTTGAGCTCTGGGCTGTTAGAGCCAAAGTCAGTCCCTGTGAGGAAAAAGGGTGCAGACTAATGAACAACTGGTATCTGCACAGGCTGATGCCAGTCAAGAGCCCAGCTTTCTATTTTTCCCACAAAACCACTAAAGATTTAAGACAGACTTTCCTATCTGACAAAGAAGAGAAAATATTCTGGCAGGATAGAGAGACAAATACAAAGCCCCTCAGAATCAACAGCAGCAGTCCTATAGATGAGGGTGCATACACCCAGAATTTCATTCTCTATTTCAGTTCCCACTGTCATTGTTTGCCAGATGAAGAAGGGCATGAGTCTTGTAAACAACACAAACGCTGAATAAATTGTATCCCTTTGTTATTTGGAACCACTGTAACAGAGCTAGGAGGCCACAAGTTCAGCCAGGCTGAACAACTGAATTTTTCCCAAGATAAAATTTCTCTTTTTGGTGTGTCTGTTTATTTTAAACAACAGCTGCAAATCTTTTATAGTGTAAAGCATTTATCTGCTAAGATGCAGCTCAAACAATACACATTTTGTGCTGTACACAGACCATTCCTCAGTCCAGAACTGACTACAGGAAGAGTAAAACAGGCAGAAATTTCAACAACGTCTTTATTAATAACTAAGCATATTTGCTGCCCTGTAAAGAATGTTTTGTCTCAATGTGTTTGCAGTCTAAATGAAGTGGATGACAGAGGCACATTTCAGCAACTGTCCAGATGACAGCAGAAGTTCAGAAATTGCCTAATTATAATAAACTAAGGTCTGTTTCCCCCACTGGTTGCCAGTTACAGAGGCTTTTTGACTATGTATTTTTGAATGAGAGGAAAAGAGAACCTGGAAGATTCTTAGAAGAGAGGAAAAGCACACAAGAAAGGAGAGCGCAGGGACAAAATCTTTTGACAAGCGGTATGAGACAATGGCTCGGGGTCTGGTCTCAATTCCTAGCTTTGAAATAGGTCCTGTGCGATTCTGGGCCGGCAATTTGAGATCAAGACACGGAACTACATCTCATTCTGAACACGTGTTTTCAGGACTGTCTCACAGCTTTGAATCCTGGTTTGGGATAGTCGCGTGTCTTAGTTCCTGCTGCACCAAGACAATATAACTAATTCTTCCCTTCACTCCTCCCCTCGCCACGTACTGTTCTTTCTCACTCTTGGGATCCAGACGGGACTGTTCGCCCGCACCTTTGCCTCGCTGTCCGCCGGCACCGCTGCGGGAGGGCGGCTGTCCGGGACCATCGCAGCGATGCCCGCACTCGGCGAGCCCCGAGCGGGCGGGGAGGCTGCCAGGGGACAGCGACAGCGCCGGGACAGCGCCGGGACCCCCGCGGCCGGTCACCCCATCCCATCCCCGCCCCGCCGGGGGGGGGACAGCGGCTGCTGCGCCGGGGGGGATTCCGGGAGCGCTCAGGTCCCGCCCCGGGCCGCGGCTCCTCCCGGCAGGGCCGCCCGCCCGCTCCTTTGTCCCTCATCGGGCGCGGGTGATGCTGGCGGCGCTGCCCGCAGGTGCGGCCCTGCCCGGGGGGCCGCGGGACGAAGGAGCCCCTCACTCACCACCCCCCTCACCCCTCGCCGCCCCCTCACCTCCTGCACCGCGTTGCGCAGCTTGTGCTGCGTGTCCTCCATCAGCGCCTCCACCTCCCGCAGCATCTCGCCCAGGCTGGCGGCCCTTCTCCGCCCGCCGCCACTGCTGCCCTCCGAGGCGCAGCACAGCGCCCACAGCAGCGCCCACAGCAGCGCCCATCGCCGCCCCGGACCCGCTCCCCGCCGCATCCCGGTGGCCGCCGCTCCCGCTCCCGCCGCCGCTCCCGCCGGGGCCGCTCCGCGGTGCGGGGCTGGCGGGCGGAGCCGGGGCGGGGCGGGGCGGGACCGGCGGCACCTCAGCGCTAGTCCGGCCCCGCAGCCCCCGCTAGAGCCCCTGGCCCGGGGGATGCGAGGGGCAGGACAGGCAGCGGGGCTCCGGGCAGAGAAACTCACCCCGGGGGTAGCGGGGAGGACAGGAGGGCAGAGACGCTGAGGGAGAGATGCTGAGGGAAAGGGGAAGATGCTGAGGGAAAGGAGCAGTACGAGTTTCCCGTTCAGACACGAGACTTTCCTTCTCTCGGTGTTTTGAATAGGTTTGATGCGAAGGAGACGGTGAGAGCTGCGTGGCCTCCATTATGTGTTTTGCTTTCCAGGCTCCGGCGAAGACTCTCAAAAGATGTTTTCAGCTCCGAGGACCAGCTCGGTCTCAGAGGAGTGACATGTCCTGCATCTGGCTGGCCAGCACCCCACTCTCCCTGATTGATTCCTTTCAAAGTTTTTTTAAAAAATACTCAGATAACATCATAATTTTGTATCTCTGTGTGTATTCCCCAATTCCCACATTACTTTTCCTCTTCGTGCTTCACCCCAAGAACTTCATGGACAGATTGTGCTGCAGTCAGCTTGCTGCTCTGGGGCAGCACTGTTGTTCCAGGAGGGAGCTGTCCTATAAGCCTCATTTTATTTTGGAGCCTGGGTGAGAAGTAATGGTGAGTAAACTATTTAAGTCCTGTAAGTGCATTATTACAATAGTCAACAGTATAAACCCAGTGCTATTGTCAGGCCAAGGCAGCTTCAGTCAGTTCTGAATGCTGGCAGAAATGCAGTAGAGAGCAGCAGAGATGGGAAGGCCCCTGTGTCCCTCCCCAGAGGGAAACCCTTCCCTCAGTCTCCCAGCCACAGCACATCAGGCTTCTGTTCAGTGCCACAGAAGGTTTCATTCTGGACACACCATACACTGAGTGTATTGGTACAATAGTTTGATTTTTCTTTTTGTAGCTGCCAACTCTTGGAGTACACAATTTAAGTAATAAGGAACGTTAGTAGCTATCTGGAATCACTCAGTAGTTGAACTATGTTCCATCACATCGCAGGAAGTATGGCATATGGAACAATCCTTTACTGCCAGAGAAATGTTTAGAAAAGATACTCCTCTTTTCCACACCTATTTTTATGGTTAGGTTTCCAGTTCACCCACAGCCTCAAATGAGCTTAATAACATTCACAATTTACAGGTGACACTTAAGTAACATTTAGAATGTTAATTTTCTTAGTTTTGAAGAGTAACTGAAGTTTAGATCAGGTACAATGAAAGCATTTAAAAAAACTATTTGAGGCCCAAATTCCCAAAGGCATATGGTCATCAGATTCCCAAGGAAATGGATTAGAAATTGGATACTTCTTTGTAATATGTTTGTAAATTTGGGCCTCAACCCAATTTTCCAAACAATCCAAAAATATATAAATGTTAGTTGACTAAGTAGTTTAGAATAGGTAGATCTAAAGAGCTAAAGTCTCCCTTTCTTGCACTGAGAGAAGGGCCACAGTCCCAAACCCTGGCTTGGCAAGACTCTCCCATACTGCCTTCAATGAATGTGGTTTAGGAAAACCAGCGCTGACATTGATGGGGCTGACAGGATATGAACTCATGCATTGTTTGGCCAATTACCAAGATGCTGCAGCATACACTTTATTCAGTATTGATGCAGTGAATCAAGACTAAATTCTTCTTTCAACATGGAGAAGTACTGTGGAGTTAACTTACAATGCAAGCACAGTTACTCTGACTGTTTTAATGGATTTGAACTCAGTTTTTCCAGCTCCTTTGAGTGAGCTTTCTTTGGACAGGGGTTGAGCTGAGTGGTGAGGATGCACTTGTATCCCAGAGTGAAAGATCTGCAACTGAAGTCAGTGCAGAATAACTCTTCTGGTTTTCCTCTCTCACCTTGGTTTACTTCACAATAACTTTCTTGTGCACACAAGGCTTTAGACAGACTGTGATTACAGCCAGGGGAGACAAATGATGTCTTCTAAGCTGAACCATCAGGACCCTTAGGGTGCCTGCTTAGAATTGCACTTCACCCCAGAGCTGCTGAAGTGTCCTGCACCTGTAATTGTGTCTGCAAGGACAGCCAGGGGCACAGGGGTGAACATGCCTCGTTCATATGTTGAGTCAGGTGACCAGGTTAACACAAAACAGATCTAGTTCACTGTGCTCCCATGACGTACCTGAGCTCATCAGCCCTACTGAAAGACTGAAATATATGAGGGCATGGTGCTATGCACTTATCTAATTCAGTATAAGTATTTAATTACTTATACTGAGAATGTTAAACCTGGGTCGTCTCCCACCGAGGCTAGTGGGAAAATTCCCATATATTCCAGAGGGACTTACACTCTATCTTTAAAGAGAATTACTGAGGATCAGAAGGAGTTTATAGTATTGATCACCTCTTCTGGTCATTTGTTCTACTATTTTTATCTTCTACGATTAAAGCAACACTGACAACAACAACAACAAAAAAAAAAAAAGTAAAAATTCATCTGTATTTAGTGTAATCTCATAAACCCTGTAATCTCTCTACTGCATTTTTACAGCAGGCAGAAAGTCACGTCTATTGAAAATATTGCTTCTGTTTAAAAGCATGCTGCTGGGGACATAGGATTAGCCATGAATAGCAGGTTATTATGTCAGACTGGAGCAAAGTCTTGTTTAAAATGATATTAGATCAAAGATATCAGAGAATATGTTTTGGACTATAACAAATTTTCATAGCTGAGGTGCAACCCAGAGAGACAATCTTTTTCCAAGACAAACCAACACAGCTAAAAAGCATCTCTTCCTGAACACATATATTGCACAAACCCCAATACATTACACAAAAGCACATATAATCTCTTTTCCAATATATAATTTTTTCTTAGACTTTAGACAAGATGAGCTGGAATAATTTTAGAACAAATATGTACATAGTTAGAAAAAGCATATTCCAGAGATATTACCTAAAAAGAGTTTGCAAGGCTTAGATCAGCAGCAATACAAGACACTTAAGGCAGATTTGAGGCAAAGACGGCCCCCCATCATGGGGAATGAACTCTTGTCAAAGGCAGACATCATCTGAATCAGTGATTCTGGAGAATAAAAACCACCTTCTGGTTGGATGAGTTTTGAGACAAAAGGCCATTGTTCCTGAAAGCAGCAGGGTAGGGAGTTGAGCATCTTTGATTTATTTTTTCCCACACATTGTTTATTCATTTAAAGGCAGTACATTATATTCTGTTTTCTGTGTTTCGAACATCTGTTATTTTGCATGTCCATTTACCAATTAATTAATAGAGATCTCTTCCCTCTCCAACAATTGTGCTGTGAACAATCAATCAATTAGTTAGCTGGAGAAAAAAAGAATAGCAAGATGTCTGGCTAATATACAACCTATAATACAAGAAGAAAAGGCAGCTTTCTGAAGTATGTGAGTATAAACAACATCAAACATCTGTACAACAAAGGAAAAAAATCTATCACCGGCAGGCAAAAATTCCAGAAACAGAAAGCCTTAATTCCTTGCTGAAGGGGGAAGGAGAGCATGAGAGAGGGAGAGCAGAGTTAAGAGAGGGAATTAACACCAGGTAAATTTGCAGTTTACACCATTTTAAGCTGTATATGTCTCAGCTGTTCATGTGAATTCCCTCCCAGAGGCTGTACCACACAGCTGGAGTCAGTCCAGGATGTTTAGGATGTCAGCAATAAGTATAATTACCTCGTGAAGTTCTTTGCTTTGTTAGTACGGTATCAGTCAGGGGTTTCCCATGGCAAAGAAGCTCTCCAAACAGATTAAGATGTGGTAAAAGTATTGATTGTCTACTCTTTTTACTGATAATTTGTTGTATCAGATTACTTGGGCATATAAAGCTCTAAGTTGGGGTAAAAATGTTTTTCTACTCACGTGAGGTTTTACAGCGTGGAAACTTGTAAATGTTGGGACTGAATAACTTGAAGTATAAAAACCCACAGTTATTTTGCTGGGTCAGCTCAGTGTTTAACTTTCTGACCATTTTCATATATTAAACATATATAAATTTTTTAAACTCAACCTGACATCTGGGAGCCTTAGAGAAGATTTAGGAAAGAATTAGGCATTTCAAAGCAATTAGGGCAGAATGAGTTAATGATCATAGTTTTTTCAGGTCTTTCTCAAGTAAATAGATGTTAAGGACACTGAAATTCTCACATATGTTTGGGAGAAACTTGATTGCAATGAGAGGAAGGGTAACAGATTGAATTTTCTCAGAATTATGGGTCCAGAAAAATTTCTAATTTAATACTTTTTGGCAATACCTTTGCCTCATTCTAGTTTATTTTAATTTGCTCTGCAGGTTCATTAAATCATAAAGTAGCAAGACCCTGTTAAAAAGAAATACAAAAATATCACACATAGATTTGATTATGAGCAGTTATTGTATTTATCTTCACACCTTCTCAGAACCAGAGCAATGTTCAGGTGTAGGTGAACACCACATGAGCCTTTGTTGAACAGATTGCAGAAAGAATTTGGGGTTTGCTTATTTTTATGTTCTTGAAGATGAAAGGGATTTATATTAGTTTTCTGTTCACAGCTACAGAGTTGAGAGTGGAGTTCTATTATCTCCTTTTGGCCTTCTCATTGCAAAATTTTCTAGTAGCTAAGTTATCATATGCCGAGGAATCATGAAATATTGATCTATCAGCACACAGTATGTCTTTGACAGTCTTTTCAAACACAGTAATCAAGTAGCAGCTGTACTTTACTCAGGAAAAACAGAATTATGCGAATACAAATACTGTTCAGTTTTAATGGCCCATTATTTAGCAAGATAGCGCCTATATATTTGAAATATGAACAGACTTTGATCTCATTTTTACTGCTTTATGGATGTATTTTCTTTTTAAGGTTCTGAAGGTTCTGACTGGTGAGGACCTAACAAATCAATAATGCCTTTTTTTTCAG